AATCTAACTTAATATAATCAATAATATAGCTTATATTTTAACAGATATAGCTATTACATAACATCTATCATATATCACTTTATCTTTCTCATATTGTTACTACTAATACCCATCCACCTCTCTATCCAAATATGGATTCAATACATCTCATTAACATAGCTAATCAATATATCACTAAACCTATTCTAATACTCACAATAATCTCTCATCTTAATTAATAATAGAATCTCTCTATCTATTACCATTACTATTCAATATTATCACTACAATGCTGCCCTACCCATCTTATCTAACACGTCCACTCTCCTAGACATAATCTAATAATAATCAAAATCAACCTATGTAGATTATATACTAGATATCAGAAATATTAATATCTATATTCAATATACTAATAACTATAATCATATCATTAAGTATCTTTTAGAACATGCTTAACATCCCAGCTCAATCAATTATATAAAAATGATATACACTACATCCTAATACTTTTATAATCTATTCCATCTAATACTAACTATTAATGTATACCATTATTTTATTAGATAAATAATGTAGAATCCTTTATTTAATCTACATTATAATAGTTACTCCCATCTTTTCTTGTCAACTATACTTTTACAGTTATGTAATACAGACTATCTAATATATAATATTATAGCGACTGATCTATACATAGATTCAATATATAATACTAGAAGAGAAATATATCTACTGACATAATTGCTTCTCATCCTCTTAAGGTATCATCACTATCAACAATAATATAAGAGTATAGTACTAGATCAATTACTTTAACTATATCATCAACTTACAGAAATCATACTGGTAATATAATATGATATAATACTTATCAATCATAATCTAATTTAACTAGCTAGTGAACTGCTTATAGTTTAAAAATATACTAAATGTTTTATTATATACAATAGATTTAGATATAATCAATATAATTAATATACTATTAATAGGCTTATAAGAATTCTATATAACATATTAAATATTTAACTCTACATATTAATATTATAAATTATCTTATAATAACACTAATAGAATGATAATAATCATTATACTATTATAGATTATCTATACCAGCAATATGAATAATAAACTCTTATCACTATCAATAGATATCATATCAATGACTAGGCTTTATCCCTAGATTACAGCCTGTATAATCTACTTCTATAGTCCATAAAATATAGTATCTAGTTCTATTATATTATATAATATCTAATCAATATCTATATACTACATCTATTATTACTATTTCTTTCAGCTATACTGCACTTTATCTATGAATCACAACATGCTGAATGCTAAAGACGCATTAAATAGATCTCTATCTAGATTATATAGCAGCTAGTATAATATAAATCTTAATTATATATATTAATTCTAACTATTGTTATAATACTGCTCTTATATTAATATTATAATACTAAATAACTCATAGCTCTTCTAGATATGTATATCACCAGCTATATACAAATCATACTTAGCTTAATAATCAGCTATATCAGCTAATAACTATGCCTTATCCATAGCCTTAGAGTCATCTCTATCATTGATAGTAAATTGATATTTATAATATAAATACTGCTAGCTGATAATAATCACAATCTCGTGATATAATATAATGTATAATAATTGATTATATAAGCCTATAACACTCTTTTATTACAATATATATCATAATCATTTAGAATTCTATTAAGCTTAGTATGGGCGTGTGATCTAAATATAGCTAAACACCTTATAATATAAATATATATTTTTATTAATCATCTATTTAAATAATTATATTAATTATAAATACTATACTAACAACTTATTAATTTTATATAATAAATATTAATAGATAATCTTAACATCTTCACTTAACTGATATCTTTTATAATATTATATAATCAATATCATTATCCTATCCTTAATAAATATATTATAGATTCTATCTATAAAGCTATTCTTATACCAAATATTCAATAACTTAAAGACCTATATAAATTAATCTTATATAAACTAAATGACTATTAATAACTTTTTAAAAATATAATGATCTAATTTTAATATACTATCTATCACATAGAATAAAATCCTTATCTGTCAATCTAGATGAATTAACATTGAATAGCTAGATTATAACAGATCTAATACTATATCTAATACTTTCTATTCATAGGCTATAGAGTTTAGATGTTTTATAAAAAACTCTATTGTATCTGATTATTGTTAAGATTATTATATAAATAATCCCATAGAATAACAGATATAATATTGGTTAGACATTCTAGTATATTATTAATTAATATATACTATACACTTTAAATCACTATATATATTATATTATAAAACTTATTTATAATAAACTATTAGTTCTTATAATATAACTTATTTTTATTCTATCACTATATATGTTTAATACTTATAATATTATAATAAATCTTTAATCTATATATATATAAATTCAATATTCATTATATTAAGCTCTACAATCTATACATTATAAACCAATTTATCATCTATATTATTCATTACAAATATTCTTTACAGCTAGATAGACTAAATAGCAATGATATACTATATATACTATTTTAATCTATGTTATTCATTAAATTAAATAAGTTAGCCATTTCTTTCTCCAATTTATTACTTAACTTTATTACTTTCTTTATAACTATGAACCGCACTATTTTAATCATCTGCAATAAAATGGGTAGATAATCTTTCAGTATATAGAAACTATCTTTATAAATCTTTAATATAACTATAGTATATACTAATATACTGTCATACTTCTATTAAATAATTTACTGATTCAATAATTCAACACAAAAATCCAAATATGCCCACTCCATAAGGCTCAATAACAGCATAATAATATTGCTAATCTCATCTTTATTCTTTAAAAAATACTTAATATCAAATACAACATCCACATCATCTATTATCCCCACAGCTGTCTCTATCATCTAGTCCATCTCATTGCTTCTATCATTAAAAAAATCAGGCTTGTTGCTATCCACAGACAACGAATCAACCGATATAGTGTCCTCCTCCTCCTCCTCTTCTTCTATCCACAGCACCCGCATGGCCCCAGATCTGATAATCACCTTGCCCTGACTCATCTGGTGGATGGATAAAATCCACACCGCATTAATCAACTGCTCCCATACCATGCACTGTTGTCATATAAATCAATATAAGGGATTAACCCACTTATACAGCTGCTATATACACTAAAAAAATATCAATATCTTCTACTATAAACATACCTACTATACAATTAACTTCTTATTCTAGTACACCTCTAATAGAGTATACTACATTTAATACTACTCTATCCAGATGGTTTCTAATCACATAAACACTCCAATTTAATAAATTATAGATAACTAGCTAATAATAGCTAACCACATTATAGCCATTTAAATAGTATAGGCTTCTAGCTTAATAAACAGCTAGCTATTAATATTTATAGAAAATAAGCTTATACTTTTTATTAAATTAGACATATTAAGCTTCTCTAAATACTTCACCCACTTAATTTACTATAATTATAGATTAGCCTCATCAACTTAATCAGTTTAAATCTTCTAATCTATAGTTTTCTAAATATAGTACCAATATAATTGCATATTTTAAATCAATATCTTATATATATTACTATTAAAGATCATTATTTTATCTATCTTAAAAATAATGATAAAATATTGCATATTAGCCTTAATAGAAAATAATTACTAATATTAAATAGAATAATATATCTAATTTTACTCATACTAAATCTATTTTTATTTTATATAGATAGACTATTTAATTTTCTAAATCCAGAATTATTAATAATACTTAATCTAATACTGCTATATATTAAGCATAGTAATATATATATATTAGTATGAATAGAGGCTCAATTAACATTAATATCTATAGATAAATATAATCAACTACAGGATAGCTATAGTCTAAATAGCTAGAATATCTAATTTAATTAGGTTATATACAATATTAAGCCATATCTAAACATCATCAACCAGCATAATATGCATAATGATAGATATATAACAATATATATAATGTAAATATACTTCAATCTAGCTAGACTACACTATATAGTAACACTCTTAGCATATTATAATAAAAAACTTCACTAGCTACTCAAAAAATGTATTATATATAGTAATAATAATTAATCATCTTAGTCTGTATAATAAATATTAATACAATCTATAATTATAATAATAATCTATTATATAAATAATATCTAATATCACTATATCTTAATATATAGAAACCCCTAACAATCCACTATAGCGCACTCTAATATATCCTAGCTACTAGTGCTAATTACACTCAACTAACATTATCTAATAAATATATCCTTTTCAATTGATAATACTGCGAATAATTTTAATTAGATATTACTAATTCTTCAATAATAAGTAATTAAATAATATAAAAATAACTGATCTAAATTTTAGAATAATTAGGCGATAAAAGCTGATTATAATATATAAAAGTTTTTAATTATAATCCACGACACTAATCCTAGATTTAACTAGCAAAAATAACCCTAAAATAGAGTTTGTGATTGTAGTACAGCTCACTACACTCAGGTATTTTGGTTAGGGTCCTATAAATTAGACGGCGCTAACCCTGGAAAAGGACACCCTAAAATCGGAAATGTACGAACACATGGTGTAACCGCTGAATCAATCCAATCGGAAGAAAGCATTTTCTTCCTAGCTCGCGTCAGAGTATTACGTGTCTTTACGAATAGGCCTACTAATTGTTGCTAGTCGAGTCACCTGAAATAGTATTTTCCACAGGAGGTAGCCTACCAAGTCACGTGGTGCCAGACAGGCGGCAAAACAGCGGTGAACCTACAGCATAATAATACATCTCCTGTCCCAGCCGAACCCTCCCTGCTCGATCGCCGTCACTTATTCATCTCGATTCTGCTTTTCGTTGAAAGTCCAAATACTCGAGCTTGTGTGGCGATGACTGAACAATCAGACACTGACAATGGTTGTATCGCATGTGGCTGGACAACTTTCAAGCAAAATCGGTGCGACTATGCAAGCCACGTGAAACTCTTCTACGGCGCGTCCAAGCGCGGCGTCTGGTCTATCGGTTCCGATGTAATCCTTAAAGATCGTCCGGATGAAGGCTCAAAGGCCACAATCGAAGCGAAAACCCTGGATTTTCTTGCAAAATCCACTGCTGCCATGAACATTGAAATCCCCGCTCCAAAACACATACGTGATTGGGTCGATCGTGATGGGCGATACTTTACCCTGACCGAACGCATACAGGGTCAAACACTCGAGCAAGCATGGCCGTCTTTATCAGAATCTCAAAAGATTTCCATTGCAGATCAGGTCGTCCAAGTTCGCAAACAGCTTCGATCTAATTTCATCTCGACCACTATACAAACTATCGACCAAGGTCCCTGTTATCCAGGCTTGCTGTTTCTGGATATGAAACCATATGGACCATTTTATTCTGAGCAAGAGCTCTGGGATGCCCTTGCCCTAGCCTATGACAATCTCCCTCAATCCATCTTTGAGAATTTGAAAAAGCGCTTTCCTAAAAGTGAGCCTTTTGTGCTCACTCACTGTGATCTTAACTTGGGCAATATTATGGTTCGAGATGGAAAAGTTGTTGGTATACTTGACTGGGAATATGCGGCTTATCTCCCTGTTTGGTATGAGTACATCTCCGCATCTTTCGCATTTACAGAAATGGATGTGGAATGGAAGAAGGTTCTTCGAGAACGTCTAGGTGTACATGGTGACGCATATGACGATGCAAAGGCTCTTTGGAAGGACTTGATCAGTTTGAAACAATATCCCGATCTAGATCAGAAGGGTAAAGAAGCCTTTGAGAGGCTAAATTCCTAAATTTCCTTGAATGTCAAATCCATAAAAATTTATTATTCTACCTGATGTTTGGTAGCATCTTATGGTATACAATACCAAGCGACACAGTCTGCAAAATCCTCAATAACATGAAATTGTGCGAAGGATACATGTTTTGAAGATCAGCTCGGACAGTACCACTTATTCCGGAGATTACAGTGTATTATTTTTGTCAACACCCTCTCCCTTAGGCAGATCAGATTGCTGTTTGACCACGGGCTGGGCGTGGCAAATAAATCCGGTTGCGAGAATAACGAGTACCTATCGCAAAAATTGATCAGACAAACCATAGTTGGATAAGATCGTATAAGCGCATTACCTCATTCAGGGGTGCCCAGGTTGATATATGAATCATACCAAATACCGAAAATACAGAGGCATATAGCGTCAATCTTAAAAAGTCTAAAGCCCTTTGGACCAATACCACTTATGACGGTCCATCTGGCGGAGTTCGGCGTGAAATTGAATAGCAAATAATCGCAAGGAATAAGTAATCGAGAGCAAAGACAATAGTGAGTAACTTATAAAGCCACGAATGCAGCAGAGGAATAAGAAGTAATAGGAAAATCTTTATTACAGAAGAGAAACTGCCATATAATAAGCAAAGTAGATTTGCACCATTCCCAGACAGTAATTGTCGAAATAAAATGATCTAAATTGTTAGTTTTGATTAATCATTACAATATAAGACTCACCTCAAATATACTAGGAAAGATTGTAGACAAACCCAATGGCACGTGAAACATTGGTAGGGAAAGATCGCTAGATTCAAATTTGGTATCTCTACTAGCAAATACTAATATAGAAACGCTTGCAGCTAAGGAAAGTGTTGAGAAGACAAAATTCTAGCTCTAGTATAGGTCTTTAATGCAAAGGAAGGAGATAGTCTTCATAAGACCTAATATAACAATAGGAATAGAAAGAGAAATATTTAAAGTATATCTTGCTTAGTTGTTCATTTATCAGGATTGTACTTACATATATAATATAATATTATTTTTCTTTAAGATTTAACTGTAGGTGTCCTAGATAACTTATACTTAGGTCTTATCTATATTGTATGTAAAATATAGTAACTACTTATTTATCTAGAGTTCTAATACTATCTATATTATAAAATTTATCTTCTTTAAAACCTCTACAGTTTAATCTTGTTAGACTTAGATGGTATTATATAATTAGTCAACTTCTTAATGTAATATCTCTAAGAGGGTTAGTTAAGTAGATTATCGATTTAATTTATTTTAAGTAGAACTATTAATTTGCTAAGACGCTAATACTATCTTTTTTTTATAAGTAAGTTAAGAAGTAAGTTTACTAATAATATTTTTCTAATTTTCTTTATTACTATATCTATCCCAAAACAATATCTTTTGTATATTTCCAACCGTAGATGCCCGCTAAGAATAATACGTTGACTTCTGTCTATATATCTACAATAATTCGAAATATAATTAAAAACTTAATTAATATATTTAAGGAACCTCTTAAGACTAAATAGAAATAATAAAGAACCCTATAAAGACTAAAGAAGAAACTCCTTAAGATATTGTCACAAGAATCGATAAACCATGACCAATGAATGTTATAGCAGACGCTATTATATAAGCAGCTAATGAGAAAGTATATAGGTACTATATATATAGATAATATGTGCGAAAGACGGGCACCAAGTGGAGACCGCTCAGAGAGCAGTAGTGATCATGATTGTTATTAAGTATAATTAGGTATTGTGGAAGCAAGGCTGAAAGTAGCTATACTTTCACCTAGCCACAACTATTGATATAGTAATAGTTGGTATTATGAATTGATGTTTTATTCCAGTATACGCCACGACACGTGACTTCTCAGAGCCAGGATATGAATGAGCATATCCTTTGCTATGACATGTCAGACTAAGGGCTCTGAAGGATCATACTCATAGATATATTCATTATAGTATATATAGACACTCGTTTACCATTATATATTTAATGGATCGTGTTTTATATTTATATTTGAATAGTATACTACTATTAGTATCATAACGACTTACTTTACTATTCCTATCTTATGATAAAATAGCCTTCCTAGACGTTGCTTATAAACTTCTTCACTACGTTAGCAGAATACCCTGAGTGACTTTCTTCGACCTCAGACGAAGCGTTGCAATACGATTTGACAGATATACAATAGAAAGATAATAACTATAGTATAAATTTTTTTAGAATATAGAGGGTTTATATCCTAGATTATATATTTCCTTTCTATAGAGGGAAAAGCGTATTTTAAAGGATATTATATAAGATTTGTTACTTTAGAAGCTTTTGATAATTTGTTGTTAACTAAATGAATAAATACAGCTGAGAGAGTGGTAGCGATGTAATTTCATCCTACTTAGGCTGTCATTTGGTTCGGTTCGAACCGAACCAAAACCGATCTGAAACCCGAATGGTCCGGTTCTAGTCCTATATACAGTGAACCGATATGGTTCAGTTCACCAAGTCCAGGACCATATGGTTTTTTAAGGCCCATTTGAATCTGATTCGATTTAGATTTTCGGTTCGGTTTTATCTGAATATCTAAATACTAGTGGATTTCCATTAATAATACTAATATATTTAGAGTTAATCCTAATCCTTTATAATTATTATTGATTATATAATCATTTCTAAAGCAACTTTTCATAAATTGAATTCTTATTTTTTGAATTAGGTGTAACACGGTCTGGCAGGACCGTGTCCGGGGGTGTCTGGATAGACTCGATGTGGGTGAATTGAAGCTTCACCGATTGATATTAATGCTATAGAGTAATGCTACTAAAGAGAGAGTTATCAGTTTAGATTATATAGTTAAAGAAGACTTCAAGCTAAAGATTATTTAAAGCTAAATAGATTTATATTAAAAATTATATTAAAAATTATATAAAAGATATTACTTAATTTTCTTTCTTTAAATAGAAAATTAAGTCTATATATCTAAATCTTTATTTTAGATTATTGATATTTAATCTAATTAGATAAAGATATATATAGTGAGGTAAAGGGTATTAATATCATGTCTAAGGTTTTATAATATTAATTATGATATATTATAATTGTCTTTAAGGTATCTCTAAGCCCTCTAATTCTACTAGATTAAGCTTGAATATATTCTCTAGATCTATTTCTATTACAGACTTCCTTTTTTAAGAAGATTCAGCCTTAAGTCGAGTTCTTAATGAATATAAATAGCTTTATATTGGAGATATAGAAATTCTAGAATAAAGATATTAATATCAATTTCAAAGGTATTTTTTAGATGATAATATTAAATATAGATTAGCACTTTTATATATATATATAAATATATATTTAAATTTTCAAAATTTTCATCTCTTTTTTTCTTTTAAGTAAAGAATATAGCTAGATAAATTACTTTCTAATCTTAATATATATAAATAAAATTTAGAATCTATAAGAATATTTAACTAATAAATATATATATATTTATAATAATCTTAATTTTTCTATTATTCTTTCTTATTATTTTTTGAGATAGTATCTTACAAATCTGTATATATATTATTAGAGATGTGTGAATATATAATATTAATATAGTTATTATTTAATATAGAAAATTCTGATTCTATCTAGATCTTTATATATTAGATGTGATACTTATGTTTAGAAATCTTTATAAAGGGCTAGCCTTTATAATTAAAAGCTAAATGAAGTCTTTATTTATAAAATAAAAGTAGATATATTTAAAGTAAATAATTCTCTTTTTATTAAAGCTATTATAGCTTTGAGTTAATATTTAAATGGGTTATTAATAATATAGATTTAAGAAGCTATATTATACTAATATAATCTTATATTAGCTTTAAGTCGATCTTAAATTAGCTTTAAATAAAAGGATTTAATATTAATATTATATAGTTTAATAATAATCTCTTTATTTTTATTTTTGTCTCTTTATTTGAGCCTGCTTCTTTGTTATTTAACTGTTAATGGATAGCAGTTAATTGCCCTCTATCTAGCTCTATTGATATGTTTTTATTAAGGAATTCTTCTATAAATATTAAAGCTTTATTATATAGCTCTTCTCTTTTTAATTGATTTTTAATAGAAGTTAAAAGAACTGTTTTATAGCTATAGCTAAAGATATTCTAGCTAAGAAAGTATAAATATATATTTATAAAATTAAATATTTTACTAATTTAATAAAATTAAGAGATAGCTATTATCATTTAGATTAAAATATTTATCTACAATATTATTTAGAGTGTCTTTAAGACCTTTAATATATAAATTCTAATGAAAGATATCTAATCAACTACTTTATAGCAATAGACTATTATTGAGATATTTATTTAAACTATTACTAAGATATTTAGATTAACTTAGTTTGATATTATAATGATTAAGGAAGCTGCTTTTTTTAAAGGCTTTAAACTTGTTAATTTAGATATTAAGATTGAATTATCTATATTTAATATCTAATATTTATATAAGTTCTCTACTATAAAGAATAAATAATTTAATTTTACTTAATTATATTATTTAAAAGCTTTTTTTAAAAGGAATAGATATTTAGCTATTTAAATAGAATAGCTATATCTATATTATATTAAGAAAGCTGATTTTAAATAATGCTTTTATATATATAGCTACTTAAATAAAAATATTATTATTATATTAATTTAGTAATATATTATAATTCTATCTTTAAAATATTTTTGTCTAATTTTTATTATATATAGAGCCTTTACTAATCTAGGAATATTACTATAGAGTACTAGATCTTAAGTAAGTAAATTCAGTCTATAGAGAATATTAGCTAAAAGAATATCTTTTTAATCTTTACTTATTATAAAGACACTAGGCCTTAGTATAAATCTATTGACTAAATAATAATGCTTAAACATTAAGTTATTTAGTTAAATAAAAAAGTGTTATAGTCTTTTAGATTATTAGAATATATTATAAATGCTTTTATAGCTATATAGATATATAAATAAA